AACCGGAAGCTGTCATACTCTCGTAGCAGCTAATATGAAATCTCCGTTATTGACATAAATATGAAGATGGATTATCAGTAATCATTTCAAAGTGACACAGACACATTGGATTAACCTTCAGCAGCGTTGTTATGTGCCATTGAACACAACTTTTGATCAGCAAACAACAAAGGTAAGACATTTTAGCCATTTTGGCTCCGTCAAGCTAATTTCTTTGTTGTTGTTTATTGTCGTTTCGCCGCGAGTTCTGATCGCTCAGTGATGATACTTATATGTCTGGAATCGGTGGAATCCCAGCTTGCTAATCGATATCTTGCTTATGCAGATCCGATAAGTAATAAGGGTATTTTATCATGAGTTCTGTGCTAAATGCGTTAGCATTCTTTCGCTCAGGGCTAATTCAAAGCCTTTGTTATTACCCTTTTGTTTTGTTTAGCTAAAAATGGTTAATATTATCTGATAGCTGAGTTTCTTCCCATTAAGTGAGTATGACACATTCATAGTTTATTAAAAGTTAAGAAGCCCTCAGACGCTGTTTCTTGCAAGATGTTGCATCATGCGACTCTGGGGCATGGGGCTTAACTGGTTAATTAAATGGAAGATCCCCCATAGCCTTTGAGTCCTAGACCTGGTGACGTACAAATTAAAACTATAAATTGCGTCACTCGCTACTCCCCTTATAACATGTCAAATCACATTTCAACGTACCCCAGTCCATCAGCCTAGCCTTTAGCAAGTATGATAGCTGCCAGAAGTTATCGTTTGGCTCAGGGGAGTGGACGCGGATCAGTGAAACTTCCTGCAGACTCGTGCGGACTCAGAGCCGTAACCGTAGCAGATCCAGAGATCCAGGCAGACTCGTCATGCACGAGTCAACAGCAGACTCAGATTCGCAAATCCTGACTCACTGAATCAAGGGAACTTCCTTCACTTCCTGCAGACTCGTGGGGACTCAGAGCCGTAACCGTATAGCAGATCCAGAGATCCAGACTCGTCATGCACGAGCATAGCCGCGGGAACTGGGAAGTAATTTTACTTAGGGGGTGCGGCCAAAAGTGGGGAGAGATTTCAACAACAGTAACATGAAGTTTTTCAAATGTACACCATTCGCAGCCCCGCCTCCAGCACCCCTACTTCCCGCGGCTATTGTGCACGAGTCAACAGCAGACTCAGAGATTCGCAAATCCTGACTCACTGTGCAAAACATAGCAGACTCATGCGGACTCAGAGCCGTAACCGTATAGCAGCAGATCCAGAGATCCAGCAGACTCGTCGTCATGCACGAGTCAAGAGCAGACTCAGATTCGCCAAATCGCCAACATTTTTGTGATCAACATTTTTTATTAAAGCAAAAGACACTGTGTAGCGGAGGTTAATGTAACGTTAGTTTAATATGCTCGTGAAATGCAACAACTTTTCGGTTTCACCGGTAGGATTTCTACGCTCTTGGTGATGCTGACTCATATGACTCAAAGGACTCGTATGATCCGGATCTCTTCAATGACTGACTCAGAAGACTCAGAGTCCGTAAAAGGATCCGGATTTGCCATCTCTACTGGGCAGTCAGCTACAAGCTGACAGTCAACAGCAGTCAGCACTGTGCTTTTTCCCCAAAAAAGTTGTAAATGAAACAAGTGAAGTACATGTAATAAAGCGTGGAGGGCGGGAGTTTATAAACCAAAGAGTAACCGCCCTTAAGGGACACTCTAATAAGTAAAGTGAAATCTGAGAGCAGACATTTGACGAGTGCACAGAAACAGCCTGAGTGCGAGGAGAAGGTTTTAAGCTGGAACACGGGAAATCTGTGCAAGCAGCAATATATCTGAGTGCAAGCGTACAGTTTGAGCAGAAGCAGAGCAAATCTAAGCGCAAGCAGGCACTATTTGAGTGCGAGGACAGGGTTTGAACGAAAGAAATACATCTGAACGTGAAATCAATAAATTATGCTCCATAACCCCCATAGTTACAATGTGTTATCAAATATTGATATTGCATGTTGGTATCATCAGTTAGCATCAAATTATGTTGGTATTTTCAATAACAAACATCATGTAAAAAATATGTATAAAAAGAGATATCACACACATCTACAAAGTCTCAAGAACATCACAATATTGTCAAAGTCATATTTCTCTGTGGTCCTTCAAGAAGAGAAAGAGACAAGCACTCGAACATTTTAATACTGCTATAAGATAAAGGCATGGAGAATTTCTACAGTTGGCTAAGTAAGAAAGCCATCTTGTTGTTAGCCTTTACTACTGTAGGATTTTGCTACAACAAAAGGCAGGATATATGTCAATGATTAGCATTACTTTAGTTTAGTAGCTAGCCTATGTTTCAATGTGTTGTGTACTATACCGATAATAACGACACACTCTATCTTACTCTCACGTACTTTACTTGTAATGTTCCACACGATACAATGCAACATCCTAGCCGCGCTAACTTAAAAACTGCTGCTCATGCCTGGTCCCTCGACTCATGTCGTCCCCCCTGGCCACCTGTGCATCAACAAATAATGTCCCCCTGGCAAGCGTATATTGCAACAGCCTAGCTAACATGTTTTAATTTACTGGTGAAGTACCAATTCAAAATGTGCCTGAAAATTGAGCTGTACCCAGCATGCCATTTGATAATGGTCCCTCTATGTAAACAAAAATAAAAGTATGTACATAATGCACTACCAACAAAGTATGACCCAGAGATCTCACTGGGTAGATGCACAAAGTGTGAACATTTTGGATGAACGGTTTTCAGGCAAAAATAAGGACAGACATTCATACGAACATTATGCTTTCCAAACCATTGGGTTGCATACAAGGCGTAATCTATTAATGTCGACTACTTGCACTCGCAAAAAAAAATGTCAGCCTTATCAGGTTTAACTCCAGACGTTTTGACAGGTTTGGCATGACAGTTGTATTAGTCAGTCAGCTATATGCTAACACACTCGATGGCAGAAAAGGGATTGTACCCCTCTGCAATGTGCATCACACGTGCATCGTACTGTACGAACGAGCGCAGGCCACAGTTCAGGAATGATCAAGATCAAATAGTATTTACGTACCTTAACTGTTACAGTGCCGATTCACCCCCTACACACACACACACACACGTATTTGTTTAAATAATTATTTATGACAATTGTTCTGATAAGCTGGTAAAGTTTACTGCATCTATCCTCAGTAGAGCCAGTGAATGAGGACCTGAATGCCTCTCAGCCGTCGAAGAAGAAGATCTCTATCTGCAGCTGATCTCATGATGTGACTGAGTCCATAAAATGACATGGAAGATAGCAAAACATTATGGTCACGACCACCTCATCAAAGGTTGCCATGACAACTCATGACAAACAGTGTGACATGGCCTCCCAGACGCCCCAAAAACAGCAATATCACCATTCAGTCACATATAAAGCTTTCTCTGCTTGCCAAAAGATTCACCTACAGGTTTATTCAAATAGGTTGTAAGATCTCACTGGAAATGATCATAGAAAAAATTTATATATTTATCTTTATTGTAGTAAACATACTGTCGGCCTGTAAACAACCGTAAACATATCAGAGAAAAATCTTGCAAAACAGCAGGAAAGATTATTTTGCTTTATTTTAAAACTAAATCATAAGCTGAATTTAACACCAGACACACTGCATTTGTTTTGTTTGTTGAATCACACTCACTCTTTGCCTTATTTTCCTCGTCATTTGCGATGTTGTTTTTAATTTTACTCTGGTTTTAACTCTACCCGTGGATAGCTATATTTCTTATTTATTTTTGTACTTTTGATTGAGTTGCCTGTTAGGAAAATGCTCACTGGTAGACAGTGATGGAGTGTCAATATCTAAAGTTTATATTGGAAAGAGGCTGTGAGACCAATCTAAATGCTGCTAATGATCAAATAAAAATGTTGCCACTTTAACGTTCCCTCAGCAGGAGATGTGTTTATCAGGAACTAGATTCAGGTCAGTCAGTGAAAAGGCAGCTCCTCTCTCTGATGCTGCTCTGCCAGTCTTTTACTCATTTTCTCCAGGCTATCATTATCGTGACAATTAGACTGAACAAGCAAACTGTAATTTTCTCCAGACTATTATCACAGAGACACTTCACTGAGCAAGAAGGGCATTTCTGCACAATTAGGGTGAAATGTATTAAATGTGTGAGGTGTGATCTCTGATATGTGATCAGCTTTTACGGAGTGATTCTCTGCTCGGTTTGTGTGCCACAGTTACAGCATCTGTAACTCTGTGTTTGTGTTTCCAGAGGAAGTGGCAGAGCGGCTCAGAGGGAGGCTCTCCCCGATCTATCTGCAGTGTGAAATCATAGCTACAGAAGCATAATGCATGCATATTACCATGGTGATCTCATTTCTTAACAGACATCAAGACTGATGATAAAGTTGCTTGAAGGATGATGTATTGTGATAAAATTAAATGTTTTATACATTCTACACAGCTCTGAGTCCTGTATATACACATATATAAAATATCCATTTATTCAGTAGACATCATTGGTTATGAGTTTGTGATGTGCAAAAAACTGTTGGTTGTCCGGTTGATCTTAGTCCCCACAGATGATTTAGGATTCAAACGTTTATATTAAAATATAAATATAAAAATAATATAATATGATTTATAGTGTGTAATAAAGCTGTCAGTAGTTGATCTTTAATTAAAAGAAAAAATGCAAAAAGTAGAAAATCCATTGCATTGTAAAAACATGCATGAATATCGTCCATGTGACCCTGAATGTAAATGCAATACACACTCTGTTTTAATACTAGAGACAAACATGGAGTTTCTATACAAAAATCACAGTGACAAAATTATAATGAATAATGATCGTTACACTACACAGTAACACACACAAGATTAAAGTCTGGCCATTAATACCAGCTTTTGTATTAATTACAGTTTTTACCACAACCAATGTAACAACGCAGAGAGGTGGTGAAATTGTGAAATTCATCACGAGTAGAGAGACAGAAAAAAAGAATGACTCACCTCTCGTAGGAGCTGTGACTCAAATCTTTCCCACAAGTGGCTCAGATGGACTGGATGGAGCCTCGATGAAGCATCAGACCGGTGCATTCATCGAGGGAGAGAGAGACAGGGAGAGAGAGAGAAAGAGAGACAGAATGAGAGAGGCAGAGAGAGAGAGGGAGAGAGAGGGAGGGAGAGAGAAATGGAGGGAGGGAGAGGAACTCCCTCCTCAGATCTGAAAGTGTGGACACGACATGCAGCCACTGCCAGCTATTTTTAACCACCCCCTCATATCGGCTGAGGGAAGCTGAAGCCAAAAGAGCAGAGCTTCTGTTTCTCCTGCTGAAAACACTCCGTCTGTGAGAAACTCCACCTTAAAAATGTAGCTGTAACATGTGAAATTGTGCATAAATTCTAAACTGCATACCCTGCGGTGAACAATAGAATGGGCAGCAAGATAACAGATATTTTAAGACAACTCCACAGACCTTTTAATATGTTTGTTTGGTTTAACCCAAAAACTCTGAGATGCTATACTTCATTCATTTGTACAGTGATATATTTGTTCTGATATTGCTGTTGTTATAATAGTGATGCAGTATCCGACCACAGCTGCAGCTAGGCTACATGACTGAAGACAACATGACATTCCATAGTACTTTCCAGCAATATGACTGGTTACACAGATTGTTTTGAACAAGTGCCCAGAAACAAAAAACGATTCAATGCCTCTTTATCAAATCAGGCAGTTAGTTAAAGGATATTTGCGAAAAAAAGTAAAATAATGCTTTTGTTAATTGCATTTCTATTTTCGAACCAGCATGGTACTCAACATAGTTGTGGCGGCTACCAGCTAAGGGACTTAGCAGCGATTACTGTCATATAGGGGGACCAGGTGTCCCGTTTTCTGCATAGCATTTGCATCATTTGACCTACAAACTGAGCTGATGACCAGCATTTGTTTGACAGTCACCCGGCTAAAACCTTTGAAGCAGTGCATAATATCTTGAAAATCTGCCACTCCGGCTGCTTCACCCACAAAAAAAAGACGTGTTTGCGGACAATTGTTTGTTGGAAAAATGTCTTTTCAAACCAAACATATATAAGTCCTTGTCATGATTTTAGTTTTGTGTGTTTAGTTATGGGTTTATTTTGAAATGCTGTTCTCCCTGTGTCTGGTCTTCCTTCCTGTGTTTGCCCTTGTGTTTCTGTCTCCCCTGCCCAGCTGTGTCTTGTCCTGTGATTACCCTTCTGTGTATTTAGTCTTGTCTTCCCCTGTGCTCCATGTCGGAACGTCGTCTTTTCCTTACCATGTTACCTGCGTAAGTTTGTTCTGTTTCATGTGCTCCCCAGTTTGTTAGAAAAAACAAGAAACAAATAAACACTGTCATCAGCTTTTTTTAATAAAGCTCGCCTTTTGTTCCTTGACATTTTGTCTTTTTTAACTGCACTTGGGTCCTGATTTTCCCCAACCCTCCATTCAGAAAACACGCATTTTAAAAGGTTTTTCAACTGCCGTCTTGTCTGCAGACCGGTATCAGTATGTTGTTACTTCGGCAACTTTTTTAAACGTGTATTACAATTAAATCACGGTAAAATATGTTCATTTTGTTGTAGTTGTAGCCTCCTTGCCAGCGATTCTCTCTGACCAATCAGCAGTCGAGAGTGTTAACGTCACTAGTTTAGCATATTCAGCCCGATTGTTGGCCCGGTAAGAACCTCGATTTTGGAGGGGCAGAAAAAAGGTGAAAAAGTAGCCCTGAGCCGGAATTACCCCTAGTGGAAAAGCAAAAAAAAGCCTTAAACCGTGCTACGTGCTGCAGTGGAAAAGCGCTTTAAGAGACGCAAGGCCAGGATTCCAGCCCGTGCCCCCGCAGCCATGGTTCCGGCTCCAGTATCGGCCCCAGCAGCCATGGTTCCGGCTCCAGTTCCGATCCCAGCAGCCATGGTTCCGGCCCCAGTTCCGGTCCCAGCAGCCATGGTTCCAGCCCCAGTTCTGGCCCCTCAAGTCCTTTCTCCATCGGTGGTCCCGCCGACTCAAGTCCCCTCTCCGTTGGTGGTCCCGCCAACTCAAGTCCCTTCTCAAGTCCCTTCCCCGTCGGGGGTCCCGCAGACTCATGTCCCTTCTTCATCGGGGGTCCCGCCGACTCATGTCTCTTCTTCATCGGGGGTCCCGCCGACTCATGTCCCAACTCCATGCTTTGTTCCGTTGGGGTTTCCGCTGGGGGTCCTGCCGACACCATGTCCTGTCCTGTTGGAGGTCCCGTCGACACCTGTTCCGCCGGGGTTCCTGCCAACACCATGTCCTGTCCTGTTGGGGGTCCCACCGACACCTGCTACGCCAGGGTTCCTGCCAACATCATGTCCCGCTAAGTTTGTTTGTCCCTGTTCTGCTTGAAAGCAAGTACCTGCGCTCTTGCAAACTGTTAAAACAAACGCTTCAACTTGTACAATTTAGAATCTGTATTTTTGAATATCGATCTTAAAGGTAGGGTAGGTAAGTTTGAGAAACCGGCTCGAGATACACTTTTTGTTATATTCCATGGAATGCTCTTAACATCCCGATAGCAATGAATATCTTAAGTGCTTTGACAAAAAATCCATAACAAAAATTCATCTGTGGAAGCCGTAGTACTGTAAAAAGCACGACCAATCATTTTAGCCGGCCCGGCTAAAATAACTGGATGGCCTACCTGCCTGTCAGCCTTCCATCTGTGCACAAACTTATCTCGTGCCCTCATTGGTCATGTGCGCGTTCGTGTGTGTTGGAGGAGGGGCTCTATAAGGAAGTGGCAGATTTTCTCCGGTTGTGTATTTTCAAATTCTAGCGATCTCGAGCCGGTTTCTCAAACTTACCTACCCCACCTTTAAGGTTAGCTAGCTTAACACGTGCTTCGTAGTTAGCTAGCTATCTTAGCTAATTCAGCTAACAGTTAACCAATCAATTTACTACTACTTAATACATTGAAAGCACTAATATTTTACATACGCCTATGGACTTTTACTCCTACGTTGAGTTATTAACGTTACCTTAACTGCACTTCTTAGTCACTGTCCTGCCTTGGCGAAGGTGAACTGAATGACCAACGTGTTACATTCTGCTGCGGAGTTTGGCTTGTGGTGCGTTCAGGTGATCCTCGTGAAATAGGAAATTCCCACTATGCAATCCTAAATTTGGACATGAACAGCCATCCACTTGTAAACACTGAGGACTGAGGACTGAGGAGGATCTCTCGATGTAAATAATATAGTACTGGCATTCGTTGTTTACATCTTTTAGTGGATATTGTCATTGATCCAGCTTCTGACAAACACATGGTAAATAAAGACACTCATTTTCCGACTTTATGAGAGATGACAAACACCACATGGATGCAGCATGCACATTCCCGGTTTTTCTTCTTTCAGGGCCAATGAGAAGCAGAGTAGGGGCGGGTCTTCGCATAATTAAATAATGCAGCAGGCACCAAATTCGCACACACCACTGAGAGCAATCGTAGTCGTCCACATCTGATGAAGTGTGTGAAAATTCAAGTCAAAGATATTGTGATTTATTTTTTTGTTATCCATATCGCTCAGCCATACTTGGTGTGTTAAGCTGTTCATGTTTAAATGTGTAATGTGGCATGGATTGTTTGAAAAAGTTTGGTGTGATATATGAAAAGCACCACAACCTCAGAAATTAAGATATATTGTTCTTTGTCCAGTATTGCTTATGCCATAGATAATAAGAGACCAGATAACAGGGGAAAGAGACGTTCCTTGAAGGAAGAGGGAGGGGGTACTGAGTAGCTGGCAGCCCCTCCCAACAGTGTCCTCACTGCTCAGGGACCCCCACCTTGATACCAGTTCCAGGGCAGTAACAGAGTAGAGATTGCACACCTACCTCAAGAGTCAATGTCATGCATATCATCAGTTATTCTGGTCCATATCCTTTAGGAGAGTGTGTTATGATGATTATCAGTTCATTTTGTGATTATCATTAAAAGAGATGTTAAAGGTGGGGTAGGTAAGTTTGAGAAACCGGCTCGAGATACACTTTTTGTTATATTCCATGGAATGCTCTTAACATCCCGATAGCAATGAATATTTTAAGTGCTTTGACAAAAAATCCATAAAAGAAATTCATCTGTGGAAGCTGTAGTGCTGTACAAGATAGATAGATAGATCGTACTTTATTGATCCCAAATTGGGAAATTGTTTTTGTTACAGCAGCATAAAAGGCATTTTACAATAAAACAAAATATACAAGAATAGAAATAAAATAAAATAAAATATAAAATAAAATATAAAATATACATGTCAAAATACAAAATAGAAAATATACATACAGATATTATATATATATATATATATATATATACAAATATATATATATTCAAAATATATGGAATTATGGAGTATTAAATATGAAACAGATTATGTGTGAGTAAAAATGTACAAGGTGGTTTTATTTCTAGAGAAACTATGGAGCAGAGAGTTCTCTTCCAGCCAGAGGTGATTTGTTGTACAGAGTTATTGCAGTGGGCAGGAATGTTTTCCAGTATCTGTCCTTGTGACAGGGGAGCTGCAGCATTCTGTTGGAGAAGGAGCTCCGTTGACTGTCCAGCTGCAGGTGGAGAGGATGGGTGGGGTTATCCATGATGGACAACAGCCTGTTCAGTGTCCTCCTCTCCACCACAGCTTCAAAGGGTTCCAGCTTGATGCCGATGACTGACCCAGCTTTCCTGATCAGTTTATTGATCCTGCTGGTGTCACCGGCTCTGATGCTGCCCCCCCAGCAGACCGCAGCAAAGAAGAGTGCACTAGCCACAACAGACTGATAGAAGATCTCCAGCATCTTACTGCATACGTTGAAGGATCTCAGTTTCCTCAGAAAATAGAGTCTGCTCATCCCCTTCTTGTACACAGCGTCAGTGTTGATCCTCCAGTTCAGCCCATTGTCTAAGTGCACTCCCAGGTACTTGTAGACCTCCACAACTGCCACATCCTCTCCCAGAATGCACAGGGGCAGAGGAGGAGATGTCCTCTTCCTCCTGAAATCAATGACC